TTTCCCTTATACGGTAACATTTGATTGTATTACATTTAGTAGTTATATTGTACATCAATATAAGATTAATAAAAGATATTATTGAAAATGTTAATATTTTTTAATATTTTCAGTAGAATGCTACTTAAAAATTTATTTTTACTTGATATTAACATTTATGGTAGAAAAAAATAACATTTTAAATAGCACTCTACCGAAAATATTAAAAAAATATTAACATTTTCTGTATCGTATTTTCTTAGTCTTATATTATGTTATTTTGTCTTATATATCCCCATTACATTTTAGAGTTACATGCTTGAGTTGGATTTAAAATTCGAAAATGTGGAAAATATCTGTATAATAGAGAACAAATTATAAAAGACATCAAATGTTTTATTTCGGTTTTTTCGGTATTTATGTAAGACTATAAAGATTTGGATTCAAACATTATGAATGTTAGGGATATGAATGTTAAATGACAAAAAGTTAAGAGTTTATTTATGATAAGATAATATCTTGTACTTACCCATATTAATTAAAAAAATAAAACAAGGATAACAAAGATTGAATGGAGATTTTTTTCTCATTGAACTACAATTAAATTGATTGTAATTTAATTCGATACGTACTTTTAAAAGATATTTATATAATTTTTAATCTCTAAATCAAAGTTTATATTTAAATAGCATTTTCATAAATATTATATCAATAATTACTTTAATTTATTAAAAATGCTTATGAAGATATTTTTTTAATAATCTTTAATTTAATATATATATATATATTATCAATAACTAGTTTTTTTTTAAATACATCAATAAAAATATTATTTATTTATTGAAGGACGAGAAAGAACGTGAATGATAGCAAAGTTTTTCTTTTTGGAAAATGAATGATAACAATGTTTTTTTTATTAATCTAAAATAAGTGTTATTATTTTTTAAAATATAATTTTTACTAATTTAATATTAAATATTTATATCATTGGTATTTTCAATACTCAAACTTAAAAATTCAAAAAATAATAATAATTCTTTTACCAATTAATATTTTGAATTTTACAAAAGACCGTTAGTTATGGAAGTAGGTGCTAAAACTTAGATGGTGACGTGTCATGCAGCAAGATGTGATAACATCAAAGTTAATCAGTCTACTATTCGGTTTTTATCAAGTTAATGGATCGAATTAAATTAGTTCGATTAATCCAATCGATTCTGAAGTAGTTCAATCAGAGAATAATTAATTTTTTAATATTCAGTTAATGATTAATTCGTTCGAAATCGGTTAATTAATTGAATTAACCAAAATTATTAAATATTAAATATATTAAGTCCATATTTTAAACTAAAATCATTAAGAATTAAGATCCATATATATTTTTTAATTGCGCTAAATTCATTAAGTTATCAATACCTAATTAAATTTTAATCCAAATTAAAAAATCATCTCTTTATAATAAATTATTCTAATTAAAAATGTAATAAAAAAATATAATTAATTTGATTAACTGACCGAAATAATCGAACTTTATTCAATTCAATTAAAAATTAATTTTTTATTAATTCAATTAATAATTCGATTCAATTGATTGTAGAATTAATAGTTTGAACCTTGTTGTTTGGAGAATCAAAGTCACCATCATTGTTTCGGTTCGTTTAGAAATCAGCTCGCCACCTGTTTTAACCTGCTTCATTGACCGTCACACCTAAAGATTTTAAATCCTTAATGCAAATCGTGGATCATGATTGAGAATCAACTATTTTTTTTTTAAAAAAATTGCCATTAACATAATTCAGCAAGTTGGGCATAACAATCACTAGAATTCATGTTTTTAAAACTAAGGGTTTTGATAAACGTTTTCTTGATGAGAATTATTTAAATTTAACTAATATTTTATTTAATTTAAAACTATTCATTTTTATTATAAATAATTGTTTCCCAATGACCAATAAAAAATTATAACAAATTATATAATGATGTTTGATTCATCGTTTAAAGGACAATTTTCGTTTAATATTTTTATACTATTTAATTTTATCGTTATTTTAATGTCGGAGGATGCACATACACGTGGCTGGAGCAGATACGATAAGACTTGGTAGGGCTCCATGTCTATCTGGACAGAGGAAGGAATTAATTGATCTTCGTCCTTTGGATTTCACCAAAGGTCAGACGAGGCGCACACTGCCAACGAACCAAAGTTTTCCTTTAACAAAAGGGTAAACTACAAGGGTGACCACTAAACTATTGCTCGAGTGACCATAGGTGATTTAATCACACCACACTGACCGTTAGCTTTTAAAGTATGAAATAACGTAGCAGTTAAAAATTTTGGTATAATTACATATTTAATCCTCAATATTTATACATTGTATCATTTTAGTCATCATTTTATTCAATTAAAATAAACTTGATCTCTAATTAAATTGTGATTACTAGAGAATATTTTCTTAATTTTTATTTATTTAATCTAATAATTTTTCTGTATTTTTATTTATTTAATCTAATAATTTTTCTATCCAATAAGGTAGTGACCATATTAAAGTGAGAAAATAGGCTCCCACGCCCATGAAGATTCAATCTTGGGACAACCTTAGTGTTGATCAACACCTAAACCACTAGGCTACATCTTCAACTTGGTTTTATATTAGAATATTTTTTTATATAACTTATAGCAGTTAATGACAGAATAGATAAAGTAAAAATACTGACAAAGGGATTTAAACTTGTGGGAGATTGCCCGACGGTAAGGCCAATATTTGAACTTGCGGGGTTGTCTGTTTTTGTTCCTAGCCATATTGATGCATCTTTTGGAGCTTGTTTGGAGTATCAATGGTCTGTTCTTCCATCTGTTAAATTCATTCTGCTGCTTACATTGCTATGGAAGATCTAGTATCGCAGGAATCTTTCTTACACGAGGGACAAATGTTACCAATTATATGTTGCTGCAACTGCTCTACAAACATCCTACGGTGTTGTTGCTTGTGATTCATCTCATTTGTCTTCAACATCAACACTTCGTAGATGGCAAAAGCCTCCGCTTGATACCTGGAAAATAAATGTCGATGGTGATTGTGCAACTACTGTGGGTACACCGGCTGTTGGTATGGTTGCTCGAAATAGTGAGAGAGTCGTGGTTGCTAGTCGTGGATTCCCAATATCCTGTCCTAGTATTGCTGGCCTGATTGAGGCGCTGACGATTTTACATGGGGTAGTACGTTTCGAAATCGATTTGGAGTTTCCTCAAGTGCTGATTGCTTGATTGTGGTCCGTAAATTGGAGAATCCTGCCACCGATCGTTCAATCCTCCATCTCATCCTGATGGAAATTCGTCAACTGCTTGATGCCAACTCATATAGTTGTCTGTTTTATAAGACGTGAAGCGAATGGAGCTGCTTATTTACTAGCGTCTCATGTTTCTATTAATGCTTTGTATGTTTATTTTGAGTATGATCATCCAAATTATATTTCGGAAGTCCTTGTAACTGACGCTATTTTCGGGTGATTAATGCATTGTTAATTTTTTTTAAAAAAGGTTGCAAACATGGATGAAACAATCATAACCACTGAGCCAAATCAAATACTTGAAGTAAATTATATTATGGATCACCACTAAAACATAGATCATATCTCAATCAACAAAAAATTATATGTTTACAATTTTTATCATTAAGTTACTTAAATTATAATTTCTAAAAATTTATATTTAAAAAGTAACATGAAAAATAATAGTAAAATTTTTTTGATTAAAAAATAATATAAATAATAAAGTAAATATTTTATTAATTCAAACCGTGCCTAATATGATAAAGAGTAGGGTGTTTAAACGGTTAATTCGATCATCGATCAATCCGAATTATCATTAACTTAATTAATCAAATTTTTTTATTTAACCGTTAACCGAACCAATTTTTTTTTAAATATTAACCGAAATGAACAAAGTTAGGTTATCTCGGTCGGTTAACCCAATTAATTAGATTAATTTGATTATAATAGAGATATTTTTTTATTTGGATTAAAATTTAATTAGGTATTGATAATTTAATGAATTCATTGTGATTAAAAAAATAATTTGATCTTAATTCTTAATGAGTTTGAGCTTAAAATATGGATTTAATATTTATATAATATATTTAATATTTAATAATTTTGATTAATTAACCGATTTTAAATTGAATTAACCGTTAATCGAATAATTAAAAAAACTAACCATTCCTCAACCAAACTAATTCGATAACTAATTGAAGTAACTGACTAATTCAATTTGATGTGTTAATTCGTCGAATAGTAAACCCCCATAATAAAGATGGCCCATAATATAACTTTTTTAGTCAAACGAAAAATAATTAGTTAACATCGAAGTCGTTCATGTAATAAAAACGTTGAACACGTGGGACCCAAAAGATGGTCTGGCCGATTTAGTATTAAATATATTACGAGTGGCCAATAAAAAGAAAGTGCAGTTATGTGTAGATAAGCATATTAATTAACATAGGGATTAGCTGTTAAGGTAGAGGAAGCTCTTCCTGATGGATGAGGGGTGAGCACGTCAGGATAGTCATCTGTATATATTTTAATATTTTTTTTAATTAAAAAATTATTTTCATTTTTCCTTAAAATTATAAATTTACCAATAATGTAAAACCCCGCCATATATACCTCATAATTTGATGTCCGTCATTATATCAAATTTAGTGGTTTTCTTGTAATGCCTTGTCACGTTAAAAACCATAAATTAGACGTCGGAGAAACGAGTCATCGTGTACTTGAATAAGCTGAGCCACACCATGGCCAAGAAAACGAATCACCGAGGATTCAAAAAATCCCGAGTCACAACCGACTAAAGGGGTCTTATTTTCCGGATTAGAGCCTCCCATATCGATAGGAGAAAGGCAACAAAGTAAGTAGAAAAGAGCACCAGCGACAAGACCAACTCCGGTCATCAAGCGGCCTGAGACAAAAGAGGGTCAGTTTTTTTACAATTCACCAGCATGAAGTGTATCAATAACTTGCAATCATCAATGTAAATTCACCAGCATGAAGTGTATCATCGATTTTAGATCGCAGAGAGAAACAGCATATCATTGACTTAAGTCACCGACATTGAAGCCTCTATTAATAGCGTAATCTATGAAGCTATATAGTGGTGCCACACGGTCACCATACTTTTCAAAGCCATCCAATTCGTTCTTAGCCTTAGTTCGAAGCTCTTCTATAATCTCCATAGACCTCTCGATTCCGTACAAACTCACGTAACCTTTACGTTTCTTTTGGTGCCTCTCAATTCCTTCCTCTTCCATCAATTTTGACTCCAGAACATCGTTCACCACTTCGTACAATACACCAACAGCTCTTCCGTATCTCCTCAACCTCTCTATCTCGTCATCTTTGGCGCCAGCCAACAACCCTCCACACACAGCGGAGCACTCGCCCATTGCACCATATTTTTTCTCTTGGATAAAATCAACAGAATTCAGGCCACCCTTGAGGTCTAGGAACTGCCCTGCAGTCATGCCAGCAGATCCCACGGTGCGGGCAATCTCGGCAATCACACGCAAGAGGCGGAGTTCGGGAACAAGTTCGGGAGGCGTATACATGACAATATGGCGGAAGCCAAGAGGGAAGAGTGCATCACCAGCAAGGATTGCCATGTCAACACCAAAGGCTTTATGGTTCGAGGGTTGGCCTCTACGTTCCGAAGCATCATCCATGCATGGAAGGTCATCATGAATGAGGGAGGCAGCGTGAACCTATGAAAAAGAAGAGATCAATTAAAACTTGCACTTATTTAAATGAAGTTTCAATAAAATTATAAGAATATCACACCATTTGGTACCAGTTTAAACTACATACAGACAACGTAGAAGACGACTTCAGTCCAAATAGAAGAGCTTGCACACGACAAATCAAAGATGTTGCCAGCCTTTCACTTCAACATAGAGATTGGTTATCGTAGTGTCCTTATTTCGTATTTGGATGCTTAATTACTTAGCAAAAAGATGATATACTACATAGTAAAAGTAAAACAAACTAAAAGATGAAGTTAAATTTAAGTCTGAATTCCATGGCCAGTGAACCTTATAGAGTGTACTAAGAAAACAATCAGTTAAGCTGAATTTATCGAATAAATCAAACTGCAAATATCAAAAGTAAAGTGCACAATAACTAGAAAATCATTGTAAACGATCCAGGGACATTTTTCATTCCATTCAAGATTTTATGTTAATTTGAACACTGACATAATTATTCAAAAACAACCCAGAAATCTTTTCCCGTAATCAACAATAGATCTAGCTGGAAAAAATGATCAAATCAACCTGATTCTCTAAAAAAAGGCATGAAAAGTAAATCAAAATTCAATATTCCAAGCTGCATCTACTAATGTAAGAAATCATATCATGTATTTAAACAGATACCCAAGTGATCATATCATATAAACAGTAAGTTTATATAATCTGAGAAACAAAGGAAATTTGGATAAAAGGGAGAAAGGGGATCAACCATTTCAAGAGCACAAGCTGTAGGAAAAGCAGCTAGGCGATTATCCGCAAAGATTTCATAGGCGGACACACACATGACAGGAGGGGATCGCTTAGCACCCTTTGCGAGAACAGAGTACCTCATGGCTTCGTAGATCTGATCTGGGTATTTCACTGGGATTGCTTCTTCAAGCTTTTGAGTGATTTCTGCATAAAGGGTAGCCCAGTATGTCTTCAAATCGAATTGGGTCAAATTTGATTGACCGCTTGAAACTGAGACGGATGGTGACGAAAGGCATCGAATTGGGGAGTGCAAATTCTTGGATTTCTTCGTGAAGTAGAGACTTGGAATCGATGTTAACACGGTTGAAAAAGCCATCATTTCTGTGTTTTTCAACCTCAGTTTTTTTTTGGCTCTTTTCTTTCACCAGTATGAGGTGAACCAAGCTTTCATTGTTAGGTCAATCTCAATTGCTATGATTTATCGAAAGTTTCGACATCAAAAGATAAAGTTTTTAGTACGGAAAAAGGTTAAATGACAAATATATCACTTAACTTTATTATCATTTCTATTTTGAATATCAAAGTTTATAATCTTTTAAAGTTTATTACTATACACTAAATCCTGAAAATTTTAAATCTTCTTATTTTAATCGAGTCTAATTTTAACCTCTGTTTCCTCTTAATCCCTTATGCTAAATCTTAAAACAATGAATAAATGTTCAAAATTTCATGCAATGTCTACTTATCAGATTCAGCAGGTTTTTAAGATGATTAATATTTTAGGTATTCTTTAATTTGATTTTATTTAAAGAAATCTGCTTGGTATGAATCTATGTAGAATCCAGTCTTTTGTATATAATCTTGTGGAAATAAAAATGTATAAATTAACACAATTAATCATAAGGCAAAGCTCATACCAAATTAATTATGTAAATTGGATTATGGCATAGCAGCACAACTGTGTTTGAAACCGGAAATTAGACTATGTTAACAATATTTTTGTTCTTATATACAAATGCTGTAGGTTTGTAGCCTGTTGGTTACAAGACAAACTCTTCTTTCAGACAAGACTTAAGTTTCTCAACTTCTGTCAGAAGAGAGGGATTTCTCTCGCAAGCTTCCCTCAGCCTTTGCAACCTCTCCTCTACGTTGCTCCGCACCGGAACAATCGATGGCTTCGTATATCCGATGAACTGCAGCAGCATTCCCTGTATTCATATTCCAAGAGAATGAAATTCAATACACAGAGAGTTGATAACGAACCGATGCATTGTTTTCATATTTCAAATGACTTGTTGAACCAGTGCAGAGTTTCGAGAGCTTTTCGGAAATGTTGCATACCTCATGGTTCTTCTTCCTGGTGTAGTCTCGCAGTAGGGACTTCACGAGTTTATTCCGTAGCAACAGCCTGTCACTTTTGTTAGAGATGAAAACAAAAGATGAAAGGTGATGCAGAACTAATGTGAATGCAACTGATCCCCGAGTTGTAGCTTTGTCAAGGGCACCGGACATTCGCATAAGCCTCCAAAATCGCTTCATTCTCCTGTAAACAACCAAAACTCGACATTCTCATACATGTAGCTGGCAAATAATCTCCACAAGTATTTTTTCCCTCAAATTATATCAGAAACAAAAATGGAGTTCACTACCGAGTTAACTACGGGGGTTGGAGTCAGATTCTACTTAATGAAAACTCATTATTTCTACCTCCACAGTATTTACGATTTCGAAATAAACTAATAAAAGCATTCAATTACATTAGCCTACACAGCAAATAGCTATGCACTCTAATAGAACATAAAAATAACAGATATCATGGAGTATCTCAACAGGTTCAAGGTATCCTTCAGCCTCTCCCGGGCATTTCTGCAAGGGTGGAAGAAGTTCAAGAACACGAGAATTAGACAAATCATTCCGGGCAGCCAGTTGTATAGGAGCTTCAACACAAAGGAGTAGATATACTGCAACTTGTCGATCATATGTCAAATCACCAATAGATAAAGCAGCATATTGCTCAACAAGAGTATCAATAAATGTTGAGCAACTTTCATGAATTTCTCATTGAAACCTCAGAAATTCTACAGTATATTTTTCTCCGGTCTCTGGAGTTAAACCGGAAGACATTTGAAATAGTTTCACGTCTTCCCTTAGACCTTTCCTCGTCAAGAAGTTGTCCATATAGCTCTTGCAAAGATTCATAAACATCCCTAGTATTCTTATCTTCAAGCACAGCCATTCCAACGAGTAATATGATGGATAATGAATGCAGTTTCCAGATTACAGTAACACTGCAGACAAGAACGTGGAGAAGGCTTCCAAACCTAAAAGGAAAAACATCCCAGCTCTAGAAACTTCAAGTATATGACCAGGCTCCTGCAAAATATTTTGTATATCAGAGGCCTTCCCAAGCCCAGCATGTTTTCTATCACATAAGGTTGATATTGGACTAAGAAACCAGTGCATGGGAAGCGGCAGCTTCTGGTGGGCCCATTCTGCCATCAACGAAGTACAGTCGTGATCTGGACTCATCTTTGATGTGTCCAGATCCTCTGGTATGGTTTCCAGAGGAACACTACCCCTTGGTGTTTTATCTACACTCGAGGCTTTCAATTTTTTCTTATTAGACTAAGACAACCATCTATTTCTGAAGTGAGAAGCTAATATTTCACTGAAGAGCATATAATCATCTTCTTTGTATTCCCACCCATATGATTTTATACTCCCCTTATCCTGGATAAAATGCTGAATGCAAAGATCCAGGTACTTTAGCACAGGTACTTGAAGCATAACATCCAACGCTTTCTCCACGATGACCTTGTCTCTTGGTCCAGCAATTAAATATAATCCTAAAGCAGAAAGGATTATTTCCCTGGTAAAGGTCCTCTCTTCATCTAAGGACAAAACTTCTATAAAGATAGTCTGGAAGATTTCAAGCAACTGACTGAGCAACCAAGCATCTGTTTGTGCCAATAAAATAGTTTTTGACCAAAATCCTCCACCAGAGGCACCCCGTCAAAGCCCCACACCAGGAGCAGGGCCGCCTCTACCAAAAATCTCAACTGACCGCACAAAGTGCCATTCTGATGCGACTAATTTTGAGAAAAATATCAAACACACATCTCAATTCAAACAATGATTCCACCAGTACCCCCTTTGCAAGTATGTTCTTTTCATGATATAAATTGCATACTTGAGAAGGATTACCGACTACAGTCTTTGTTTACTGGATCAAATTGTTAATGTATATAACAACCTGGAAGAAGCCATGAAGGCAACATAGAGCAGCAAATGATGTTTCGAATTCACTTCGCTTCCTTAAAGAACAGAGATGCTCAATAAAAGAATTACCAGCAGCCAGGCTAGTTCCATATTGTGCACTGTCCACATCTGTAAAGCTCAAAAAACCATTTCTAATAATTTCAAGTCCAAGCTTAGGAACAAAATCTGGCAACCACGGCATGTGACCATCATCTTCTTGGAGGTCCATGGCATCCTCAGGGATCACCTTCTCAAGCACTTGGGAAAGCATGTGCATGACAGCTGAGTACACCCACAATAAGGGAGAGGAAGATTTATCATGAAGAATATAATTTCCCATTATTCCATCCTGAGAATCAATGAATACAGACTTCAATGATATCCATTTAACAGCTAAATCAACCATTGGTCCAACATGGATCCAAGACGAGGTTTCCACATTATCATCAGCACCCATGCTATCACTTAGAATTCACTTAAAACATTGTTCTCAACCGGTTTTTCAATTGTAAGAGGATTTAACCACAAGCACAAGGCATGAAAAATGTTGGAGAAGTACGATACACAATACCCATGCTGAATGCAAACCTTCCAAAAACGTAGTTGTTCAACCATTAGAGCAGATGAAAGTTCACAATTTTTCTTCCCAATTTCAACCATTGTTCCAGAGAATAAGGATTTTGATACTTTTGATGCAATTGACATGTCAGAGCCTGGAAAATCCCATTCTCAATGAACTCGGCACAGTTCTTCCGGTCTGATTGTGCTAGCACCTTTTTAACAAAAAGGATTACATCAATATAAATTCATTACGCTAAATGGTAGGAAAATAAACCATTTAAAAAAATAGAACACATCACATTTTTCATTATTTTCTCCAAACACAGAAGATGGTCAGGCAGCCTCATAGTCCTCTATTCCAAAAACAAATTAATAGAACCTTACCTTCAAAAGGCAAACAGATTTAATCTTAGACAGATAAACCTCCATACTGCTATTTGCAGTAAATCGGTGAACAACAGTTTGAACTAGTCTTTGACACTTCATTATTGCATTTGCACCCATTGGGGAATGTCTTGCTATTGCGACTAGGACTGAAATCATGCATTCTTCCAAAGTTGCCATCGGTTCAATCTGGAAACATGAAAAAAATACATATCAGAAATATCCCACAACCTAAGCATTGAGCTTCCGGGAGACACACTATGGCTGTCCTGTTGGGAGTCAGAACAACTAAAATATAGACCTATCAAATTAATCTTGAGATTATTGTACAACTTATTGGTTTCAAGAGTCTCATGCAACTATGAAAAAAGAAAAAATATCTAAACATGTATATCGGCATTAGAGAAAAAGAAGATGCTAGCACAAGAGTCTAGATCAATACAAAATTTGAATACATTTAAGAAAAACCTGATGGCAGGTATATCAAGGAATTAAGCAAACAGTTATTGAAATGGATTGATTGAACAAAAAAATGTCACCTTCCAAAGATATTGAATCCTTGGAAGGACCGGCAGCAAAATCTTGCTGGGGCAACAACAACGTCATCCTGAATTGTTTGCTTCCCTTCAGTTTCATCTTCCATGATACCATCACCATAAAGAAGAATATTTGATGGTTTTGCACAATATTTCCAAAATCCACCATGAAGGAAACCAACATCAATCTCAGGTTTACTTCAAAATATAGGAGCAGTATAAGTATCCTTCATGTCAATTGCTGTTTTCTGCAAATCATAACAGTTGGTAAACTCTGCATTACATAAAGACATAGAAGAGTAACGTGACTTAAAAATAAAAATTTACCTCCAAAAGATCAAAGAAACACTGATTTATATCACAACTCAATATGCACTGAATAACTTTGGCGCTTGCTAAAACAACAGAATTGTGATTATCATCAAGAGACATCCTACATATATCAAAATATTCAATTAAGGGTAAAGAATATAGAATAAAACTGATTTTATGAATCAACATCTACATTTTAACGGGAAATAGAACATGTGACCTGACATTATTGGCATTTTGAAAAAAAGAAAGGAAAAAAAAATCATTTAACCTTAATGATAAGATCAGTCAGGTTCTGGGCCCAGTGCAAAAGCCCAAACAGCTTCCAGTCAACAGCACCGTCAACAATGTTATTATTGGTCAGAGTAGAGCCAACAGAATTGAGCTGAATATTAAGTAATGCCTTATCAAGCACGGATACAAGAAGATGCAGTGCAAGAGCCCGTTCACCTGGAATATAAATTCAACAATATCAGTAAATAACTGGAGATCAAAACAGTTATATCAAAGATATACTGTAACAATATTTAGTATTTAAAATACACAATATAACTGTAAGTCATCAACATAACTGCATTTGCTTTGAATATCTAAATGTTATCAATAATCTGATAAATAAAATACGAACTAACCGTGCTTCTTGTGAGTGCAATTGCTTCTTTAATTGTATCCTGCTGCTCCTGGATCCCCTTCTGTCCGTAAGAAATTGCGTCCAGCAACATTTTCACCACTGTAATACAGTACCAAAAGGAAAAACCAAAACGATATTAATTTCGGTCATCTGCTGTTCCTTCTATGTCTAGTATTCTTCTACAAATATATTATCTAGAAAGCTGAAGAATACAGACTTTTGATGAACAAATAAACTTTTGACGAACATGCTCTTGTTGGTGCAGTTGAAGTGCGTCATCTATGTCCATTTCAATGACTGAACAAGCATTCAATTCACCCCTCATGGCTTTGTCAGTTTTAGCCAGAGGCCTATGGGCATTTAAATGTGATCCTACATCTAAATTCATACAGTCTATATCTGCATGTGCACCAAAGGCTTCTCCATCCACCTTTTGTCTTACAGTTTTCCCAACATCAGACTTGTTTGCTTCTCTTCCCTTGTTAATGGATAAATTATCACTCTGCGTTGCCTCTTTCCAAAGGCTAAGATCCAAACTCTTTTTCTCTTTCCTCTGCACCGGTTTAGCAAAAACTTATATGGGATCAAAGTTAGCAAATTCATTTTCATCTCCATCATCTTCTTCAACAATATCGCTATTGTTGCTTCTTGGAGTCCTATGCTGTTAAAACAAGTCCAAATATCAGCTCAAGCAACTTCTGATTTGAACAAATAAAACCAGTTAATTATTTAACACAAGGAATATAAAAACCAAAAACGAACATCATCGGTGCTAGTATTAGTTGACTGCCCCATTCCATAGCCATGTCTTTTAGGCTTTAAACTTATGGTTTTGTCTTGCTCCTTCAAGCAACGACCTTAGCCAAATTTGTAGCAACCAATGACACTGAATTACCAAATCAGCTAAACTTCCCAGAGTAAAAAGCTACAAAGCTACCCCTTTCGAGTAACAAATCAATAAAATAAAAATACAACATAGAACGAAATCATTGCAGTGGCTTACAGGACCCTGAGAGCGGTGGCGTGCAACAGGGAAAGGGAGCACTGAGAGGCGAGGCGGTTGAATGGGTTTACTAATATCATCGTTTGAAACAATACCCTTTTCGACTATGTTCCCAACTAAGCTCGAAGCATCATCGTCTCCATCGATTGAGTTGCTCCCAAATATCTTCAAAGAAGCAGCTTTTATTTCAGTTCATTTGCTTTTATGGCTGCTTTGTTGCTCCTGCTTCTTCTCCATATGTTCCAGGGTTCAAGGGAGGTTTCCTTCTGGCTCTTCCGTGTAAGTTTTCAGCCCAAAGGAAAGCAGTTTCTAACTTGATGCCCCTAACCCAAAAGGCTCACATGGCTTTTTTTTTCTTTCAATAGTGCAAATATTTTTATTAATTAGTCTAACCGGGCAAGTTAGATTTTATTTTGAGAACTACGACATTTATTACAGTAAATCTAAAATTCGTCACAGGTAATGAGTTTTATTAAAAATATTTTTTTAATAGTCTCAGATAGATATGTTTCATGCGAGTTAATATTTTATTATTTTTATAGAAACTCGTCATTTCAAAATGATAAATCCTGTTAGAAATTAATTTTTTAATTTTTTTTGAATTTTTAAAAAATACTCGTCGTACAATGAATAACTTTTTAAATTTTAAAAAATAAATCGTTGAAACTTATCACGTCGAGGTGACGAGTTTCATCAGATTTAATTTAAATAAAATTTAAAAAGATAAATAAAATAATATTAAAAAACTTAAATAAATAATTTTATTACAAACTAATATAATAGATAATAAAATTTATTTTTATTTTCTTAGTTCTTGATGATGTCGAGGAGTCGTTAAATGATGATGAAGCGAGACTCGTCAAGTACGTCAGGATCGTTCATCTCGATCGTCTTCATCTTCATTTGCTTGTTGAAGATGAGGTGTACTAAACGTCACTCCACTTGAGATGCACTTTCAAAATATGGTTATGGGTTTATGTTGAAGAGCATGACCAACACATAATTTTATGTTAAAAATGAACTTTTAAAATTTTAGAAAAATATAAAATTATAAAATTTAAAGAGTAATAATAATTAATTATCAATAAAAATATAAATAAATATTTAAAATATATAATATTTTAAAATTTGTAATGGACAATTATTCTATCCATCTTCCTCTACAAATCTCTTGAGCTGAGGTAGCATGTGGTAGGAGTGTGATTTTTGTAACTTTTTATAAAGATACTTTCAGTAAAGAAAAAACACAGGCAGATTAATTATATATTTACTCTTTTTTTTTTCTTTGACTTCTATAATGTCTTTACACAAGATAAAAACGAACGCAGACAAACGGTAGCCCATTGCAGATCTGAGGTCAATCCCAATGGCAGACTGGTCGCAACTCCCACCAGAACTTCTACTACTAATCGGCAAACGCCTCGACACTCGATTCGATATTCTCAGATTCCGATCCGTCTGCTCTTATTGGCGTTCATCTGTATCTGTTCCACCAAAAGTTTACCCTTACCCTTTCCCGACACATCTCCCGTCGAATACCTTCGGTAGATGCGAGAACTATCTGAGCGACATTACCAGACACACCCTTTACCTTATTAGACCGTCCCACGGCAATCAAACACAAGCCCCTGCTTGCTGGCTGGTCAAAATCAGCGATGGAATGGGACTGTTCAATCCTCTTACGGATTCTGAGCTCAAACTTATTCCAGATAACTTTTCATTGGATTTAAACAAGTTTCTTGTCATTGAATTAGGCCATGAGTATACTGTTCGGCGTGGAGAATATATCGATCATCCTTTAGAGCCCCAACATCGGGACTACATACAGAAATTAGTCTACTCACGGTGTACCGATCGTGATGGTTTTATAATGCTTACCCGCCTTAGCTGGTACCGCCTGGCTTCTTTGAGATCGGGTGAAAATGACTGGACTCTGCTTGAACCTTCAGTGTATGGTTATCATATTATTTCCTTTAATGGGAAATTCTACGTCATGGAGAAACGAGGAAGAACTATAGTCGTTGACCAATCTTTAAACGTTAGTTTCTTGGGATATATAGGCTCTTGGAGCAGTATAAAGTGGTTGGTTCAGTGTGTTGATAATTTGTTGGCTGTTGAAATGCTTTATGATTCCGATGGTGAAAGCCGTGTGAGATACGGTAGATTAGTAAGGGAAAATGTGGTTGGTTTCAAAGTGTTCAAGATGAATGAAGAAGAACAGAAGTGGGATGAAATGGAAAGTTTAAGGGATCAAATCTTGTTTCTGGATTATCGTCAAGCGATTTCCGCATCCGCTTTCCAATTCGGATGGGGTAGAGGAAACCTCATCTTCTTCTCCGAATGTGTCTCGGGATATGCAGTATCCGAAGATAGGCGTATGTTTGTGTTTGATATGGAAACTGGTACCGCTAGTCCTGTGGAGGATTGCTCTGCCTACTGTAACTTGATCTGGCCACCTCCAAGATGGGTTACTTCTCCAGAATAAGTGATTTCTTGGACTCAAGTTATGACCAACTCGACTCATCCAGTAACATCTACTTCTACAGAAACTGAATCCCATTTAGCTATCTCTCCAACAGGAAATGTCCCGGAGAGAGTGACTTTTCTGCAGGCAAAGAAGTGGAGGGCCAGTGTCCCTCTCCAAGCTCAAAATGCAGGTTCAGGTTTTGCTGCTTCTAACAAGCTAAACATTTCTCTACTTCTTATGAATGCAAAGTTTTCTATTTGACACCGGAGCCATGCTTTCTAAGTTCATTGTTATTAGCTAGTTAGGTATGAAGTCCATTTGCAAGCCTCCTAGTCCTATGAGAAAATTACTTGTTTGAGTGAGCTGCTTTCAAGGGAAGCTCTTTTCTGGCTCTTGCACGTAATAAAAACTTGTTTTCACTAGGGTGTTCAGATCCAATTCGATCTAAAAAAATAATCAAAAATAGATCCAAAAAACCGATAATTGAAAAAACCCGAAACCGATTTAGTGTGTTTGGTTTTTTTTTTTTAAAAAAACCGATCGATTCGGTTCGGTTTGAAAATCTGAAACCGATCCAAACTAAACCGAACCGATAATCTCTTACCATGAATGTAAGATGAAAAAATCTTGGCAATCGAGCACCACCGGCATATAAAGTCCTTGCAGTATTTCGTAAATGCAGCCTTTTCTGGGTTAATAGTGTTCATATCTGCCCAATTTGAACAATTACACTCTTTAAACAACTGTTGCATATCATCTAAACTGTTGTTCTACTTATGGCTTTCTAGAACCAGATCCTCAAAACCTCGCACAATGCTTCATACCAAAATCATTAAACATGTAAATAATTCTTAAACGGCCATTAAATAAAAGAATAACGCAATTAACTCCAGTAATTCGCATAGACTAAATAAATCGCTTGCAACAAAATTGAATCAGTACACGTTCAAGTCGAATATTCTGGAAAATCTAGCAAGATTAAGCTGAGATTTTGAATTACGAAAGTAAGTTAACCAGCCTAATAAGTCTATCTACAAACTGTTGCTGAACTATTAATGTGAACAAACTTCACAAGCTTACATTTGTTAAAATATATATTCTCTTTGTAAGTTTCACAAGCTTGCATTTATTAAAATATATATTATCTTTGTTTTTGTTATACATATGTTATTTTTTTTTTATAAAAAAAATTTAAGAATTATTTTAAAAAATTAGAATCTAAAACCCGTATAAATCTAAACCGAATCAAACCACACTTAATTGGGTCGGATCAGATTAGATTTTTTTTAGAAACATCCAAACCGATTCAAACCGAAAACATTTATACTTTCAAATCGAATGAATTTTTAACCAAAAATTGATCTAAACCGATCGCGAACACTCCTAGTTTTCACTCCAAAGGAAACTAGTTTCTGACTTGATGCCCCTAACCCAAAAGGCCCACAGTTCATCGATTGTTTTGAGTCTTCGGGTGCTAAGTAATCATTTAGAGAACTGAAGATACTCATTTTTTTTTCATTTGAATATTATTTATATTATTATTATTATTATTATTATTATTATTATTATTTTATTATTAATAAATATTATTACAGGCACAAATCAGACTGGACCGGCTCAGTTACAAAGGACCCAACTGGCCCAAACCCATCAGGAAACCCTAAACCCAATTTAGGGTTTGTATCATCTAACCCTAGCCGCCTCAGCATCACAACCGTTGGATCTGAGAGATCCAACGACCCACACTCATCCAGAACAAACCCTAGGGTAATGATACCCTAGGGACCACGCGATGTCGTTTCTACTTCCAGCCGCTCCACGTCGCTCCGCCGCTGCCATGATGCCCCGTCAAAGTTTCCAGAAGATCCATTAGAGCCGCACACGTCGCTTATTTTTTGTGAGTCACCACCATAGGTTTGGTGACTCACTGGCCTTCACTCTTGTGACTGGTCCGAGGCGCATCTCGTCGAGGCTATAAAAGCCTCGACCCACCTACAAAGGAACAGAGAGAGGAAGCAACAAAAAAAACTAAAAAAAGAGAGAAGAAAGGAAACTTACCCTTGGAGCCTCGATCATTACCGAAAGCCAAACATCGCCGGAGAACAAAAAATACCAAAGGTATTTTCTTAGATTTACTCTGATTAGGAGTTTTTTAGGGTAAACTAAAGCCAGATTTGGCCTTAGGAAGAGAAGGCCTTTATTTTCATGTAAAACGAAACTTTCCGGCCACCAGAGACGGTGGCCGGCGGCGGGGATTACGGCGGCAGTCGACCGATGACCGGCTTCCCTCTGGTGAGGGAAGCTAGAGAGAGGCGAGAGAGAGTTTTATAACTCTCTCTGCTTGAGAGAGAAGAGAAAGGAAGAAATGAGAGGCTGGCCTTTCGGGTATTTATACTCTTTCCCAAACGGCACCGTTTTGGGGAGGGTATTTCTGTAATTTCATAAAAGGTAAACTATACCCGTAATCCCCATATATTTGTAACATTGCAATTTAGTCACTGGAACTATTTTTTGATCTTTTTAATTTAGTCTCATAATTTTATTTGATATTATTTTAATCCTTATCTGTATATATATATATATATTTAGGGTAAATAACAGATTTAGTCATTTAATTTTAATAATTAATATTTTAATCCCGAGTACATATTTTTAATTTATTTTAATCTGACATTCGAATTTAATATAATTTTATTTTAGTCTATAAATTAATAAATGAGTAAAATAACATGTTTAATCCCTGAAATTTAAATAATTAATTATGAATTAGGTATTTAATGCTATTAGTTTATAATTTAGTCACTAATTTAAATTTTTATTTATTTATTTTACAAGTTATATATAGTTTTAATTTTATTGTTAGTTATATGTTAATGTTTACTTTTAATTATTATTACTATTATTATTATTATTATTTAACCATAAATATATATATTTATATAATAAATAATATGTATTTTATTTATTAAAATCTTAGTTAATTATTTTTAACTTGTTTTAATCCTATTTTAATATTTATTTATTTTCCAATTTTAAGAAATGGCAGTCTTAAAATAACTGGATGTCCCTTTTCTGATATTAAAAAAAATATATATCTTATTTTATAAATTATATATTAATTGTTTTAATTATTTATTTATTTTTTAATATCAAAGAAAAGAGCTGTCTTAAGGCACCTAGAAGTCCTTTTCTGATATTTCTAAATAAATAAATATTTTATTAATATATATTTTTCATAATTATAATTTTAAAATAATAGGATTATAAATTAAATATATTTTGAATTTCTAATTTCTAATAATAGAGACAATTTATAATTAAAAAGTACCAATTTTGGGCGTTGTAGGGGTGTTAATCCTTCCCTAAACGTAACCGACCACGAATCCCTTTTTATTATTAAAAAGAACGAATTTTTGGGTTAAAACGCAGATCAATTTATCTTTTAATCGATGTTTTCTTAAAAACTCTTTTAAATGATGATTTTTAGGTATTCGACCTACCTGACCCTAAAGGCCGATGGCGACTCCCAAATTATTTTAAAAACCATTTATTCACATCACTTTTCCCGCCAAGTAAATATTTCGTGCCCGGACGAAAACCGGTTACGACAGCTTGGCGACTCCGCTGGGGACTTGTCAGGCTTTTAAAAATCAATTATAAATTGTCTCTATTAATTATAAATTATAAATTCATATATTTAATTTATAATTCTTTCTTTTCAAATTTTTTATATACTTATTATTTTTATAGTATTTATATTAATATTTCATATTACTTGCAAGTATTTTATTTCATTATTTATTTTTCTGTCAGAGGTTTGAACATTTCTCCTCACACACAACACTTGCATTGCATAACATAAAGCTCTATAATTGAGTTTGTCCCTTTTAAGTGGGAGTGAAAGCGACGTCTTCGTGAGAATTTATTCTCCGTGTCAGACCTAGCAAGTAACTTTCGGGGTTCATATGCTCTATGTCTTCGTGAGAATTTATTCTCCGTGTCAGGCATAGAGAAGTGTATCCCCTTGAATTGAACTCGATCCACTTTAGTCTGTGATGGACTAGGAATGAGGGTTAGCAGCCCAAGGGGGCACTAACAAGGATAATTCGGGTACCTTTATTCTTAGATCTGAAACCCTGAATATAATAAACCCTAGAAACTCTTCCGATCTGAAGTCATGCCGAAATTTTGTCCAAAATAGGTGTACACACAGGAGAAATGAATTTTAACTTTTCCTTTTAATTTATTTATTTATTTTCTTACTGAATAAATTGCATGTGAATTTAAATTATTTAAAGTATGAAGAAAGCATGCTTAAATAGAAATATTTAGATGGACATTATTATCAAATTATTTTTCCTTTATTTAAACTAATTCATTTTTTTGTTTCATTTCTTCTGTTTGCATAGCATCATACAGGATAAAAGGCATTGATTCTCATGTTAATTGTCTCATTGGAAAACCTTCATCCATGGATAAAAAGTGTTCAAATCAAATAGTTCTAAACTCAGAAGTAAGACAGTGGGCTGAGGACTTACAAAGACAAGGAGGAGACAGTCTGCAGGATGACTATGTATCTGACTTAGCCAGTTATGCTCCAGTTTCGCTAAAAAGAAATGATATGCAAGATTTGCGAGGCATTTGGGAGAGTTGGGACTCAAACAAAAAGTTGCAGTTTTATCAGACTTACGGAGACATCCCATATTTGCTCTATGTCGAAGTTGATGATGACTTACTTCGAGCCCTAATTCAATTTTGGAATCCAGGGTACAATTGCTTCACTCTCAATAAGGAGGACTTGGTTCCTACTATTGAAGAGTACACGACTTTGCTACATATAGAAGGGGCTTTGGAGAATCGAATCTATTCAAGGTCAATTAAAACTCAACCTTTTTGAGTTAAATTAACAAAGATTGCTGGAGTACGAGAGGAATGGGTGGCATCCCGTACAAAACAAAAGGGCGAAAGCGAAGGCATTGCTTGGACCAACATTAAAGAACTTATTCAGAGTCATCCAG